TTAAAACCCTCAAATTAAACAGAAGGAAAAAATAATAGTTTAGAGCAGAGATAAACAAAATAGTGAATAGAAAAACAATAAAGCAAATCAAGGAAACCAAAGGTTAATTACTTAAAAAGATCAACAACAGACAAAACTTACCTAGATGAACCAAGAAAAAGAGTACTAAATTACTAAAAACACAAATAAAAATAAAGGTATTACTACCAACCTTACAGAAGTAAAAAAAACAATTATAAGAGAACAAACAGTTGTGTATCAACAAGTCAGATAACTTAGATGAAACAAATTACTAGACAGCCACAAACTACCAGAACTGACTTAAAAAAGAAACAGATCTATAATAAGAAAAGAGAATAAATGAGTAATCTAAAAATTTCCAAAAAAGAAACATCCATGCCCAGAATTCTTCACTGATGAATTCTAACAAGTGTTTAAAGTATTAACATCACTTTCAAATTCTCCCCCCATATCAAAGAAAGTAGGGCACTTCCTAACTTTTTCTATGAGGCCAATATTACTCTGATCCTAAAGCCAGACGAAGATACCACAAGAAAACTACAGACCATTATGTCTTATGAACTTAAATGCAAAAACCCTCAAAAAAATATTCTAGCAAACCAAACTCAGAAGCATGTTCAAAAGATGATATATCATAACCAAGTTGGGATTTATCCCAGGAATGGAAGAGTGTTCAACATAAATCAACCTATGAAGCACAAAACATTAACAGAATGAAGGAACAGGGGCTCAGGGTGGGTGGCGGAGGAGGAAAGATTGGAAACAAAATAAGGATATCTGTTCTCAACCTTCTATTCAACACTGTACTGGGAGTTCTAGCCCAAAAACTGGACAAGAAAAAGAAATAAAAGCCATCTAAATTGGAAAGGAAAAAGTAAAACTATATTCACAGATGGCATAATCTAAAAATACAGAAAATCCTAAAGAAGTCCCTCACACACACACGAACTGTTAAAGCTAATAACAAATTCAGCAGTTATAAAAAATCAACAAACAAAAATCAGTAATACGTCTACACACTAGCAAGTAAGAATCAAAAAATAAACTTAAGAAAACAGTTCCACTTATCACAAAGGATAAAATACGTAAGAATAAATTAACCAGGAAGATATATAACTTGTACACCAAAAATTACAAAAGATTGTTGAGAGAAATTAAAGAAGACCTAAATAATCAGAAAATTTCCATGTTCATGGATTGTAAGACAATATTAAGATGGCAACACTACCCAAACTGATATATAAGTTCAACATAGTGGCTATCAAAATTCTTACTACAAAGCACAGTAATAAAACTTTTGTGGTACTGGTAGGAGGATAGACATAAAAATCAATGGAATAGAACTGAGAGTCCAGAATAAATCCATATGTCTGTAGTCAATTGATTTTTCAACAAGAGTACCAAGATCGTTCAATAAAGAAAGAACAGTTTTTGTTCAATGGGGAAGAAGACTCTTTTCAACAAAGCGTGCTAGAATAACTGGACTGCCATGCAAAAAATATGAAGTTGGTCCCTTACATCATATGATATACAAAATTAATTCTGTATGGACTAAAGATCTAAACATTAGAGCTAAAACTATAAAATTCTTAGCAGAAGATACAGGGGGAAATCATGACTTTGGATTTGGCAATGGATTCTTAGCTATGAGGCCAAACACACAAGTAACAAAAGAAAAAAAATTAGACTTCACCAAAATTTAAAACATTCGTTCATCAAAAGGACACTGTCTAGATAGAAGGTAAAAGACAACCTATATAATGGGGGGAAATATATTCGAATCATATTTGTGATAGGATTCTAGTATCCACGATGTGCGAAGAACTCTTAAAGCTCGACAACAAAAAGACAGTCAACCCAATTTTTAAATGTGCAAAAGATGTAAACAGGCATTTCTCCAAAGAAGACATACACAGATTCAATAATCACATGAAAAAACTACTGTTAGTCATTAGGAAAATGCAAATCATTTTTGCAAATGCAAACCACAGTAAGATACTACTTTACATCCATCCACTAGAAAAGCCATTTTCAAAAAAAAAAAGGAGCAAAGAAAGAAAACAAGTGTGGTCGAGAATATGGAGAAATTGGAACCCTAGTTTGGTGGGTCCTCAAAAAGTTAGCACAGCATTAGCATGTTATTCAGCAATATTACTCCTAGCTACATACCCAAGATAACTGAAAAGAGGCCATCAAACAAAAATGTGTACACAAATATTCATAGAAGTTTTCTATATTCAGAGTAAACAAGAAGTGGAAACAGTTCAATGTCCATCAGTTCAAACGCACCTCATGAAAAGTTGTGATGATTTTGTTTTCTCTTGTTCTTATTTTTCTTATCACCAATAACCCGAAATTGGTCCCCCCCAAAAGAGTATCTTAAACAAATTAATTTCTGACCTACATTAAAAACTGGAATAAACAAAAATATATATTTAAGTGCAACTAAAGTAAAATATCCACCTCTTTGAAAATAAAGCATATGCTTTTAACTGAAATAACTGGTCTCCCTTATTAAATATTAGTATCAATCCCAAATGGAATTTTAAAACTAATATCTAATCAGAAATTCTGTATAGTACAGTGTTAGCACGTGAAAAGTTGAGTGAAATGTGTCAAGTTTAAAAACTAACAAATATCAATAAAATGTAATTACTTTTTCTAAAAACAAACATGTTCAGTTTATGTTCCTTAAAATACAAGAAAGGAAAGGATGTGTACATGAAAACAAGTTCCTTCTACTTGATTACATCAGAAATTAATATTAAAATTCAATTCAGCAAGTAAAAATTAGTTTTGGTCTAGAATAACCTATACCTTGAAAACATATATGTTAAAGAAATAAGAAATATAAATAGCTATACTATTTTATTATGCACAGTAAACTCTGCTACAGTTTGGAGGTAGCCATATCTAGTTTTGCTCTACAAAGAAAGAGGACTCTCCTTCTGTAGTCCTCTTTGTTTCTATAAGACAGCAAAATACCAGTGGAAAGTCCAAGGTGGCCAGAAAACTAACCGTATCAACTCTGGCATGAAGACAAGTGAGCCTGTATCTCCCTTAGCTTCAGAGGTGGTAACTCTCTGCACCACTCTTCACCACCCAGTCATTCTCACTCCTACTTCACAGAAAAGAGAATGGACCCCAATTATCAACTTGCCTTTCCTAAATTTTCACTTCAAGCTTGGAAAGTAATCGATAACTTAAAAGCTACTACATAAGCAGAACTTTCTAAAGACAGAAACCGAAATAACTAACTATTAAATATGGAGGGGAGAAAAGTCATAAAGCAAAAGGAAATCTACAGTGGCTGCAGGACAGTTTTACAAACATCATTCTTTCCATATGACACAGAAACCAAAAGATGGACTACAACTGAAGAACTGTATGATTATAATCATCATGTTGCCATCAGTCTTTATTAAAGTTAGACTAAATGTTTTGCCATTCTCATAAGGAAAGAAGAAGGTACAATGTCTATATTTCATATGGATGATGGGTTTTCCCTGATGTCCAAGTCCATTCCCCAAGCCAGTCCCTAACTGACATTTTTCCCCTCTAGCTGAGATGAACAACAATTGAGTTTCAAAGTCAGCATTAACTATATACAAGAGTATGTCATGTATATGACATAATTAACTTTTCTATCCATCAAGTATAAAAAAAACCTAACCAAAAAAGATGTCTCTTTCATAGCAAATCTAAATTTCAGATTTGAGGCATATATGGATTGGATGCAACTATATTTAAACTATACTGATGGGCTAAACTTTTTTAAACAAGGAGAGGAAGAAATCATAGTTTCAAAGAAAACAGCATTCAGAATATTTGACTTTTTTCAAAATGATTTTGTTGTAATATAATACTAGTCACTTTCAAAATGTAACAGAATACAAAGGTCCATTGTTTTTAAAATTTTAAGATGCATGAAATATTAGTTGGCAGAATTTACTTACTACCTCTTTAAGAAGATAATTTTAGCGTATTTTAAGTGATTTATAAATGATATTCGAGTATAATAAATTGGATTCACAAAATTGTTCTAAATATAATTCATTTGCAGATTTCATACATCTTAAAAGGACTAGATGTTTGCATTTCCAATAAATTGCCTATTAGGCAATAACAGAAACAACACATAAATAATATAGCTCTACTTTTATGGGGCTTTTTTGTTTTAAAGATGTGGGGTACAATTGAGGGTTAGGCACACAAGTGATTATCATACAGTGGAAGATTGGGCCTCCCATCGGTCCTCACTTTGCCTTGTTCTCTACTTTTAAACAATCAAACAATGAAAGCAGCTTTAAGTCTGGAGTGAAATGCTAGCAAAATTTATAGTCAGTTAATATATTAAGTTTTTATTCGTATCATAATACCCTTTATTATATTGTTTATCATTACAAATTAAAAGTCAGAGTTTATCACACAAAAGTACTCACATATGAAAATAATAGAATATTACTTTAAATAAATTAAATTTCTACTTTGAGAACCCATTCTTTTAAGTAAGAAGATAAATTTCAGCTTGAACAACATTACTACATAGTTAAGGTATATGAGTATTACCAAACAAAATACATTATGTCTTTCACTCTGTATCATATACAAATATATAAAGGACTATACACATTTATAGGACTGTTGGCTTAAGAGTAGCAAAAGACAATATGGTCAAACAATTTATCATTTATGAGACAAGTGAGAATCTTAATGGTCTCTCATTCATTCACAAAGACCACGAATAATTCAAGTGCAATTATACCCATTTGGGGAAACCACTATTTTCATAGTTTCATCAAATACTGAATTCTGAAAAAAGGATGCAACACAGCATTATATAATGAAAAGTTTCAGTCATCTGTAGAGTACCTTTATCTTAATTTATTTTTAAATAAAGTTACTAAAATGAATTAAAGTACTCTGTGGCTAATAAAAATAATGACTAGAAGAAGTATACTACAGAAAAACGACAGTACCTTGTGAAGCATATTTTCTACTGTTCTCATGTGATTAGCAACATATTCTTTGTCTCTAGAAAAATTAAAGGAAAGATTCGATGTTAGTAAAGTCCAGGTCTTACCACAATTGTTATATATTTAAGTAAAAGTCACTATTATTGAAAAATAAGGATTAGATGGCATTCCTTATTTCAAAAGTGTAAAACCTAACCATATTCACTTTTATATTTCCGCATTTAACTCTCATCTTCAATTTTTTTGCCCATGCTAAATTGGGGCAGAGGAAATATAAAGGCAAGAAAGTAAAAAAAAAAAAAAAAAAAAAAAAGAAATCATAATTACATTGTTGATAATATAAAATGTGCTGAAAAGGTGAAACTTTTATTATTTTTATTTGTCATAAGGAAGACATTTAAAATGTTACTGGTGGGAACATATTATAAATGGTTATAATATGCAAAATAATATATTCCTTTCTACATAGTGTTTTTGTATTATAATAATTGCACAAAAAACCCTCCATGACCTAAGTAGGAATATGCAGCTACTGGTTTTTCCTATTGAATTTCGCCTTCATAATGAAATAAAAAGTTTGAATGAAAATATTGAAGACAAAACCTAATTGTAAATTATAAATTGAAAGCCGGAAATAATGTATCAGATCTCCAAATTTCAAATTAGCTTTCTCTACTTTTTAAAAATCACGTGCCCACTGTCACACATTATAGACCTGTCAAATTCTAAAATTCACAGCAACGTCTTAAAAACTCAATTTGAATCTGGAAGTTTTATAATCCTGTTTTCATTCATTGCAGAATTTTCTCAGAGCTGTAAGACTCATTGGAAATTATCTAGACTAAGTCTCTCACTTGGTATGAGAAAACTGAGACTGAACAATGACATCAAGAACTCATGTAGTCAAACTTACGTTTTTAGAAATGGCAACTAACTATACCTAATATAGTGGAGCAATGTTATATAGCTTTACAATTTTCAAAACAACTTCTGGAGGATATTCAAAATATGCCAATATTTTAGCCTTGTGTCAGTTCATGTTTTCATTATGCTTGAGCCATGCCACAAGCCCAGTGGCAAAGCTGTGGATATCCTAGGATTGCAGATTCCTTGTTCTGTGATTTACAGACTCAATTCTGCAGTTTACAGAATACATTTATATTTGATATGTCAGCTTACCAAAAGTATCTCAAAAAATTTTTTAAATTAACATATTTTTGCAAGTAAAGAAATTCAGCATTACAAGTTTAGAAAACAATGAGTTTATCAAAATTAGATGTCTTTAATCCAACTACATTTTCTATAAGCCATTGTGTTATATACCACAAATTGTCTTAAACTATTCCAAAGTAAACAGAGAACTGTTCAATTTGAACTTCATAACGTGTATCACCTTGACTACCTAGTAAAAGGAAAAACCTATCACATTTACATAGTCGTCCACTCTGAAAACTGTATAATTTTTTCTACTGAGTATATTAGAAAATATAGCTATAAAATTAAACAAATTTTCCATGATCAGTGCTTTCATTTCATTTTTAAAATGCTATGATACACATGCTGACTGTACACTAACATTTCTCTGTGGAAATACGACTTGCAATATCAGTACATCACAGAACAAAATCTGGGGAGCAGTTGGCAGAAGGGACTGAGGCATGTGTAACAGAAGATACTATGCAAAACGTTTAAATAAAGAGTCTTACATTTCACATTAATGAAAACACAGTTTCAGACATGTAACACTACAACAGAGCCCAAAATATACATAATTAGAGATTATATAGAAGCCTATATTTTTCTGAGGTTTCTCAATAAAATATACATTTAGTATGTTGAGTTAAGAGTTTTCTTTTTTGAGGATATATCAGAGAATTTCAAAGAAAGACAGCTGTACTTTTGTTTTCTAACACTGTATTATCCAGGGCTAAAACCCGGAGCATGAAAGTAAGAATTGATCTTTTGTCTGTTTTAAGTGATCTCCCCAAGGTCCAAATGCTCACTTGGCTGCCATGCGGAGGGCACTCTCTGCATCATGGATGTTCTCCTCGAGTCGACGCTTGTCCTGCTCCAGCTGGGTAAGATGTCTGTTGAGCTGACGCAGAGATTGATCTTTTCTTCTCAGCTCCATCTTTGCCTCGGAGAGACTCTGCGAGCAGACAGAAAACAGAGTTACTTGTCAGCCCTGATAATTAACTTCAATTTATGCCATAGGCTATTAAACAAAGAAGAATACAGACTGACTGAGAAGTAGACTTGGGTCATTACACATCAAGGTTTAACAAATTTTCTGCAAAAATTTTATATATGTAGTCATTAGAAATGATAAAACTGGTGAGATTTTGAAAATGTTTGACTTCAAAACACAATACCATTTTATTTTTTTTAAATACTGCAAGATGAATATATTGTGTTCTTACTTAAGATATCTGAGTATTAAGATCTCAAGTAGTATTTTCTTTTAATAATAAAAAATAAAGATTTCAAGGGGAGAAAGCACACAAAATTCAGAGTCTATTTAACTCTAATCAGAACTAGAGTTAAAGAACTATCATGTGCCCAAAGTGTGAATGTGATTGAGGGAAAAGGGGACTAGAATATTTACAAGAAATTGGTGAACTCAAGATTTAAAAGTACCAGTACTGTCTTTATAAATATATCTGTAATACTTAGGTTTCTCTAGACATCTCAGTGAACAAACAAACTGGACTCCAAAATAAAATTCACCTGCTTCCCAGTAAATAAGTCTCATGTCAAGGACAGCAATACAAATGTCATTGACACGTTTCAACTAATAGAGAAAGTTATGAATAAGACTTGGATTTAAAGTTATTTGTTTCATAAATACTTTCTTAGTCACATAAGTATAAAATATGTTGACTGATTTGTTATTTGCTTTCATCGGAAATAGTCACTTAGCACAAAAATTTCAAGATATAATTGTATGACTTTCCCTTGAAAGCTTGGGGCTTTAGGTCTTAGAATCAGAAACTCCAACTTAAAGGCATATTTTCTAGACCTCGTTTAAAATTCTAGGATATAAAATACTATAGGGATCAGAGGATGTCTCAGCACGAAAAAAACTTCTCATTCTTTTGCCTATAAAATTTCTAGAAGAAGCTTATCAAACAGTTTTTTATTAAATCTGTTAGATGATGAGCTAAACAATTGACGACATACACATAATGTTTTCATCTTGCCCAAAGGTTAGCCGCACATTAACATTCACAACTGTGCTTCAAAGATCCAGTAAAGAATAAATAAAATGCTACAATTTTATGTTTAAAAGTTTTCTAACATTATTCTTTTAATGCATTCACGATGGGTAGTATTAAAAACTCAAAGCTGCCTACATGGAGTTAAAACAATTAATTTGCTCTAAATGCTGGTGAATTGAAAGCAATCGTCAGTCAAACTAGGTATTTAAAAATATAAAAAGTTTTTAAATTCAGTAGTTCACTTTTCAAACAGTCACGGTACTGTCAGACAAATACAAGTCAAAAAATTCAAAATAAGCAAACTGGGATTACTTATTAGACATTGCATTTTCTTTTAAATCTTTCCTATTAACAGATCTCCTAAAACATTCCACCATGGAACTAGTCATTGATTGAAGTCAACTTTAGAAAGACGACAAAGAACAGATTTTAAAAACCATGCTAAACCTACTAATTTTGTGCCAATGCTAAGATAGTTTACAGGTACTAAAGTATCTTGAGATTTTTTAATTTAAAAAATAAAACCCACTTGAGTCCTTTTAAAGTCAGTATTTCTGACATCTTTCAGGTAATAAAAAAGGCTATTTTTCAGATATGAAGATAAAACGAATAGTCCACCACCAGTTATACAGAAAGATTAAATTCTTTTTCCAACAGAAATGATAAACTTGTGCCAATCCATTCAAATTCTCTCGCTCAGTAACACTCATGACTAAAAGTGCACATTTGCAAGTGGGCTATGCAGTATGCAGCCTTCAGTATATTGTCGCCAGCCTTGTCCAGATTGAAGCTCACTAATCCAATGTGAGAAAACCCATGACTTTGGAATTATCATAAACCCACATTTGACTTTCCAGAAATCCCATGATATACTTTCAGAGACAATATAGCTCATGGCATTAGAATTTCTACTATGTATCTAAAATCTCCTCATTTCCGTTCTTCCATTTTCATCTCTCAGGAGCAATGACAGAGAGCCATCAAACTCTTCTAAAGCTTACGCTATTTCGGGGCATAGAAAAGGAACAAAAAGTGTAGTATAAACAAAGTAATAGCGATCATACTTCTTGAATGTGGAAAGATAATATAGCTTTTGAAGAAATATATCATAGATAAAAAACTTAAAAAGAATTCTCATTTTAAAGAGTTGACGGACATCATGAAGGAATATATCACGGTCCTGTGGTGGATGGGGGTGTGTGCAGAACACCAAGACATAAAAAGTGATTCAAGTATCCATCGTTTCCCTAATATTCACTTTTTTATGACAAAAATAGACTCTTCAAAACTCCTGACACCGTGTTTTAATTAAAGAAAGATCTGTGCCTATATACTACATAGGTATCGGTAGCACCTATAACATATAGCATATATACACAACTTTAAATTCAGCTTTTCTTTTCTTCATTTCATATTGATCTAATTAAAACCCACGCTACACTTTATGGACTCTAATATTTCCAACCGAATGACTGAAACCAGGAGGGTGTGCCCCTAGGCAGCCAGGCAACAATGATAAGCAGCAGGTTAGCCACTAATTTCTCAACCAGGGTAGATTGTGGAAGTGTGATGTTCTGATATCCAAGAAACTGTTCAGGAGAGAATAGGATAAATCAAGTTTAATAACTCTGCTCCTAATTGTTCCCCCAATGCTCAACTCTAATTACTTGGAGAACTCTCCTGACTGTCACCTGATATTAAGTTGTTGGAGGCTGAGCCTGGAACAGCGAGATAATCAATAAACATTTAGAGGGGAGAGGAATGAAGATCCTGTAAGCAGTGGGAACCTGAAGCACCCAAAGCCCTTCTGCTCATGAGAAAACCTGTGGGACAGCCATAGTGATTGCAAAGCAATAATCCAAAGCGCTGTTTTTAGGCCTTGAGGCCTTTAGGCAACAGCACATGTGAGGGAAAAAGGTTAACACGGTCACCCTAATTACAGCCCACTTTCACATACTTCATATATAAGTGAAGACAAGCCAATTAGGTAGAAAGGAAGATAAGGGAAGTTTTATTTGTATACTAATTAAACCCCTGATGAAATTAAAGGAAAAACATACAGCTCTGTAATTGTGTCTGAGAAAGGTCACTTCAGGTTCAGTTATCAGAACAGCACAGCCTTGAGATATTTCACTTAATCCACCATACAGCCCTCATTTTGTACTCAGGTCTTAATATTTACCAAAAAGAAAAAAAATCAAAGCCTGATACTGAATTTATCTTTAAACAGTGCTGTGAACAATTTTAGCTGTTGGAAAGTTAGGCTAGAATGATAACGAGAGTCTTTAAAGCCAGAAAAATATGTTCACAAGAACCAATGTCACAAAATTATTTATCAAAGATTCTAATTTTCATTTTAAATCCAAAACATTCTAAAGCAAATCTGTACAACAATATCCCCAAATGCCTGCATTTCAAAAGCTACTGCATAATATCTTCATTGTATTTCTTTTTAGATAATGATGTTATTGCTTACCTTCATGTACACTTCTCAGGCCAGGGAGAAAAAGCCAATGCTTTCACTAAACTACTCCTGTAAGAAAATATTCACATCTGATTCACATCTGATTACCTAAAATGGTAATGAAAAGCTATTTATCACTAATGAAGGCTGGCAGGACAAGTATGGATTCGAGCATAGTTAAGTACAGAAAAAGCTTAGGGATACAATACACGGTAGATGTGACTATTAAACGGCCCATATATTTTTCAGATGTCTTTTTTCCTATCTATAGTTTCTGAAGTTTCTGTAATAAGTGTGTATTATAGCAGAATAAGAACACAAATTATTTCTAAGTAATATATAATTTTATATTTCTAAAGCTTTAAATGTTTATTAAGGTTAGCAATTTTTTTTGTTTTGTTTTGTTTTGTTTTGTTTTTGAGTTGAAATCTCTCTCTGTCACCCAGGCAGTGTGTACAGCGGCAAGGTCACAGCCACTGCAGCCTCAACCTGCTAGGCTTAGGCAATCCTTCCACCTCAGCCTTTCAAGTAGCTGGAACTATAGGTGCACGCTACCACACCCAGCTAATTTTTTTATTTATTGTAGAGACAAGGTCTTGCCATGTTGTCCAGGCTGGTCTCAAACCCACAGGCTCAGGCAATCCTCTTGCCTTGGCCTCCCAAAGTGCTGGGATTACAGGCTTGAGCCACCGCGCCCAGCTGAGGAAGATTTTTTTTAAGTGAAATTCTTTTTTTAAAAAAAAACTTATCAAAACAACATGGCTATCTGATACAGTGTCTCATTGTTTCAGCAAAGTCTGATTTTAAACTACATAAAATACATAAGGGTTGTCATTTTGTTCAAAAATAGTTTTTAAATGAAAAATTTATAAAATGAATTCCCTGAATCAGAATATCTGATTAACAAAAATGGTATAGTACAAAAGTTAAAGTTATCTAAAAGGATATGCACATCTCTCCAACTCACATTTCTGATGTCAAGGGAATCACCCAACATCGTTCTTTTTCATACAGGTACAGTATAGCAGTGCTTTAGACCATTAGGCCACGAGGAAGCCTGAGCCCCAGGGGAGATCGCTTTTATAGATTTTCTTTTGTCTAATGGGAAATATCTATGGATCCACATTCCTACAGACTAAAAGCTAATGGCTTATTCAATTTGGTATAAAAAGTTAGTCATACAAAATGAAAGGTGAGACAACAACACAAGTGTTATAAAGAAGTAAGTTAAGCTTCCTAAGTCAGGGGAGAAAATATCTCTTAGCATTTTTTCAAAAATAAATTTACTGTTGTCTGCAACTTTTGAATATAGATTTCTAGATTGCAATAAACTTAGTAAGACGCTCAGGACACTAAAATAAATGTTGGAAAAGGAAATAACACTATCTTCAGCTCTCCTATTATAATGCAACAACTAAAAAATTATATTAATCAAGAATTAAACTTGCTGGGTGGATCAAACTGTAG